TATCTTAAACATGAAAACAATAACACGCACAGAGTGTGTCTGTATCGAAGAGAGTTTAAATCGATCTCAGTCCGTGTCAATATTTGCTCTTCATGCTATTAAGTGAAGATCTACTTTAAAGATACACTGAACAGCAGCGCGATTTGCTAAAGCAGCATATTCAGCGGGCATCCTATCACATGCACGCTGCTTGTGTGGATGCAATCAGTTTTGACCGCAAAAGATGAGGTAAGCTGATTGGATATCATGTATTTGACTGTTTACTTACGGCACTCCCATTTTCCTGTTTTTACATTAGAAGAGGCATTTTGCTTGTCAGAAATACGTTCTGAAGTCGACTAGTTGATTAGTCGGTGCAACCCCTACTGTGAATACACTCACCTTGTCACAGCGCATCAGGCCCAGGTACCGCAGAGACTTGCTGCTCCTGGCGATCTGAGTGGCTCCCTGATCCGTGATCTCCTTACACCAGCCGGCATCCACCGTCTCAATGGTGCTGCTGTACTGACCGATGGCTATCAGAGCTGGACAGAGAGAGACAGAGAGGCCATCAACAACCACTCAATCACTCAGGAGTCAGGACACATCACGACAAATCTTCATTCATCTGCCGGTCATTTCAGTTTAGTGTGCTTATATTTCATATTTAAAATAATAAATTAAATAATAAAATGCATTTAAAGTAATAATAAAATTAATATATATATTATATAAATATATTTATATAAGTAATATAATTATTTTAATTTATATTATTTTATAATTTTAGTTTTATTTTAATTGAACTATGATGCTGTCTAGATCACTAGAGTTTACAACAGATAAAAAAAAAGTCAAATGTGTTTTTTGAACATTAAAGCATGTCAACATATTCTGTTACACCAAATACACAAAATAATGATCTTTAAAAAAGCATCATATGACCCCTTTAAATGTTATATATATTATATAAATATATTTATATAGTTAATATAATTTTATTTTATATAATTTTATAATTTTAGTTTTATTTTAATTGAATTATGATGCTGTCTAGATCACTAGAGTTTACAACAGATAAAAAAGTCAATTATATATTATAAAAATATATTAATCTAATTAATATAATTTTATTTTAATTTATATTACTTTATCATTTTAGTTTTATTTTAATTGAACTATGATGCCGTTTAGATCACTAGAGTTTACAACAGATTAAAAAAAGTCAATTTACTCTTTAAATGTTTACTTTTTAAAAATACAATCTGAAATGTTTACTAAACTGCACTCAAATAACATTAATTCAAATCCAAATTCAAAATAAACATTATTGAGGCAACACACTACAGATGAATGGGGTAAAAGTTTCAACTCACTAAACTGATTAATCACGTACATCAAGACAACTGTTCTGTATCACAAGTTTTCTGGTTTGTTATGTTCAAATATGCAAATGAGGCATTATGCAATTAAATATGCACTCATTTGCATTAATTTCCAGAACAGAAATACTTGTCTGATTTTTACATAATGGTAAAGGTTTTTACATTTCTCTTTCTATCACTCCATAAATCAGAAAATACAGTCAACAGAAAACAAACGCATTTTCACCATGTTTTTAAGAGTAAAATATTGTATAAATCAGTGTGAATTAAATATGAACAAACCTTCAGAATATAGAGAGGAATAAAACTGTAAAATGTAGTGTTTGTAAGAGGAACAAACTCTTTAAAGATATGGATTGAGAATGAAATCTACAGATGCAAATAGATAAAGTGCAATAAAATAAACACTTTAATGTTTTCTTTCCATTAGTCTGAAAGAAGAGATGCAAAATTGACCAGTGCATGAAGAAAGCACTGGTTTTGGCTGTTCTGTCTTGATTTAATTCTGTGTTTGGGTTTACTTCTGTAAGAAATTTCACGATCACGTTCACTTTTCATAATTAAGGAGAGGCTGGAGTCACGCGAGGTCAGCCTGAGCGCTGATCACATTACTGTCCTCCTGTTCAAACGCAGAATTCAATTAGACCGCGAGCGCAGCGCTTTATCAATAAACCAACAGCATCAGGCCTCCAGCAAACTCATTCAGCACACGCTTTTAAAGGATTCATTTACATCTGCATTACAGTTGTTTCAAATTCATAAAACCATTCTGCTTCCTGCTTGACTCTGTTCAAATTCAAGAAGCGAACTGGAACACATTTGGACACAAACACTATTTTAAAGCAGCATTAAAAGACATATTTCCTTATCTTGAGTGCATGCACTGCAAAAAAAAATGATTGTCTTACAAAAAAGGCAAAAAAAAAAAAAAAAGTACTGTATTGCATTAATATTTTCTGTATTGATTGTTTCACCTGTATTTTGAATTTTGCACTGCATTGCATTGTGTTTTGGAGTTGTCCATACAATTAGAAATGGAGAAATGTCCATAGAATTAATGGATAATGTCCCATCAGATAATTACCAGCACTTTTTATTATTATATTTTTTTTTTACAGTATACTTGCATGTTTTCTTGTTTTGCATTACAAAAAATAAATAAATTAAAATAATAAAAAAAAAAATCTTAAATCAAAATTTACTTTAGAAGTAAAATGACTGATTTTAAGTTTGAAAAATATATCAAAATTTCCTGAAATTTTCAGACGTTTCTAGAAATTAATGGAAAAATGTTCTACCAGAAAATGACCAGTTTTTTTTCTTCTTTATAAATATTTTTTACAAACTTTTTTACAGCATACCCAAGTATTTTTGTCTCGTGTTCCAGTACAAATGTTGAAAAATTATTTTACTTTATAAGAAAAATGACTGATTTTAAGCCTGAAAAATGTATCAAAATTTCCTGAAATTTCCAGAAATTAATGGAGAATGTTCTACCAGAAAATTACCAGTACTTTTTTTTAATTCTTCTTTTATTTTATTTTTTTTACTATTTTTACAGCATACCTAAGTATTTTTGTCTCGTATTCCAGTACAAATGTCAGAAATTCTTTAATATTTACTTTATAAGAAAATTGACTGATTTTTTATCAAAATTTTCAAAAAAAAATGCATCAAAATGAAGTGAGTTTATGCTTAAAACAAGAACCAATATCTGCCAGTGGAGTAAGAAAAATACACTTTGAATTATGTTAATTTTTCTGAGCCCATTAGCAGATAATTGTTCATTTTGATGCATTTTTTAGAAAACAAGTCCTAATACCTTCAGTCATTTCGCTTCTCCAGTAAATGTGTCTTGATTGAAGAATGTTTAGATATTTGGACTGGAAAACCAGACAAGCATACTGAGAAAGAACATGATTTTTTGCTGCATGTGCTTGATTTCAGCTCAGTGTTTTTACTGCATTTCAACACGAAACCCCACGAACACATGACAGATTGTGTCTTTAAATGGATTAACCCTCGCAATCCTGTGTTTGATGGCCTGTCACGGATGAAGGCTCTGGTCATCTTCTCCCTCTCAGCATCTAATGAATGCATTGGACATGCATTTAATGATTAAGAGTCGGCTGATGCTGTCGATGCAGACGCAGATGTTTCATATAATAATGATATTTCCCATTGTGAGCAGAAAAACTCAAGTTAACTCTCTAAGAGTAAAATAATCATCATTCAGCCCAATGCATGAAAAAAATTCTGTTTACATCTGTTGGCCTGATATTTCAGATCAAAATCAAAGTTCTGTCATCATTCGTTCACCTTCATGACATTTGTTTATGGTTTGATATAGAAATATTTTCTTCCTCAGTATTTTGTCTTGTTTTCCAGTACAAATATCTAAGCATTCTTCAATCAAAATACATTTATTTGAGAAGCAAATAAAATTTTTTAATTTAATTTAATTTAAAAATTAAGCATATTTATGCTTAAAACAAGAAAAATATCTGCCAATGGTGTTAGAAAAATAATCTTAATTCAAAGAAAACAATATTTTTTTTTGACCCCATTAGAGGATATATTTTTCTTGTTTTAAGTATAAATTTGCTTCATTTTGATAGATTTTGATAATACAGTAAAAATGTGAAATATTATTAGAATGTAAAACAGCTGTTTTCTATGTGAATATCTGTTAAAATGTAATTTATTTCTGAGATCAAAGCTGTATTTTCAGCATCATTACTCCAGTCTTCAGTGTCACATGATCTTCAGAAATCATTCTAATATGCTGATTTGCTGCTCAAGAAACATTTCTGATTATTATTAGGGATGCACCGATACCGATACTGAGCTCCTGTACTCGT